ACAAAAGTGTAAATTGGTACACCTTTTTTATAAATGAGTATTGTAATATGTGAGGTCCTAGTATGGTGCTATAGGATAAGCATTGTACTGCTAACCTCATGGTAGGCAGTTTAAACTTACCACCTACTCCTTGGAAACCCTATACAGGGTCACTGTGAATCAGAACCAATTTGATGGCACAAAACAACAACAAAGTAATATGCATCAAATATAGAAAAACACAGAACCAATATCCCAGAAATTCCACTTTACTTAATCTACCTTAAAACATAAGGAGCTCCAGTAGAGTAAGAATCGGGCTGAGAACCTTAAGGTCAGCAACTCGAAACTACCAGCTGTTCCACAGGAGAAAGATGAGGCTTTCTGCTCCCATACAGATTTCTAGCCTCAGAAACCCTGTACAGGGTGGCTATGAGTCGAAACTGACTCCATGGCACATAACCACCACCACCACCACCTTAAAACATAATTGCATATGTGAAAAATGATGTCATCACAAGGATGTTCATCACAACATTGTAACATCAAAAAAAAACCCGGAAATAATCTAAATGTCAATTGAGAATGGACAGAAAAATGATGCAAACAGACACTATGTCTAGGAACTGGGATGATTTTGTTGTTCTTGCTATTTATTTTCTTTCCTAGAATTGTATGAATATTTTTATAAGACACACATATTTCTATTTCCAGATCTTTAACAACTATTTTCAAAATACTTTTTGAAAAATGCATAAAGCAAAAAAGTTTCCTGAAGAAGGTTTTCCTTGGGTTCTCAGAGCCAATTATCATTTCATATACCATTGAGGAAGGTGTCGTTGAGCTTTTAAGACTAGTCAATCGTCCAAAAAATCTGAGAAAATTAAAACTGAAATGAAGTCAGGCTGCTGCCTAGAACACTTCCCTCCCTCCTTTTTGCATAAAATCAGAAAATACCATCTTTTTACTAGCTTTACATAGAAAGAAAAAAAGGTCTTAATACTTAATACTTCATCGCAAACTACAGCCTTAATACTTCATCGCAAATATCTATGTTCCATATGAAGCTAATCATGAAAGGGAGTGAGGAATAAAGACTTTTAGATGGTTCAGAGCTAATCCACCTTAGTTGCTAACAGGACTCAGCATTTACACTTTCAGTGGGCTTCTAGCTGCTGGAACATCCTAGAACTAACAGCACTGACCCAGTGGCCAAGTCAACTCTGATTCATAGTGATCTCATGTGTGTCAGAGTAGACGTGTGCTCCATAGGGTTTTCAGTGGTTGATGTTTCGGAAGTTGATCTCCAAGCCTTTCTTCCAAGGTAACTCTGGGTGAACTCAAACCACCAACCTTCCAAAACAGCTGAAACTGTTAACTGGTATGAGAGGTTGATAACGACTTGGACAAATGTTGGGGCTTAAGAGTGGACTTCAAGTTGTGGGGTTTAAGTTACTTAGACCTGAAGACTACTTTCATTAAAATGATAGATTTCTTTAAAATAAGAAGTGAAACTATACAGAACAATAACAACAACAAAAAGAATACAGTAAACATCCTCTGAAATTATTACAGCAATAGCCACTGTAAACAATTGGTGCTTATTAGATTTTTTGTTTCTGTTTTTAAACCTACCTTCAAAGAATTAATCATTTCGCATACATTTTGTAACAAAAAACACAAAGGTATTTTAATATTATGTGCTGACTATAACTTGTACGGAAATGAACATCTTCATGTAGTATAAATTAACATATTAACATATTGAAAGGCTTTAAGAGAATCACATTGACACAATTTATATTAGCTAAAAATGTCCATGAAATCCTGGTGTGGTGCTGTTGGATAATAAACTGTACACCAAGGTTGGTTTGAACCACAAGGTTGGCAGTTCAAACTCACCAGCTGCTCCTTGGAAACCCTTTACAGGATTGCTCTGAATTGGAACCAACTCGGTCACACTTAGAGCAGCAACAACAAAAATGCCCATGTCCTGAGACTCAGTCATATAGTAACATTAGCCACGTCCCATTCCTCTTTCCTCTAAGTCCTAGGCAACCACTCATTTACTTTCTGTCTCCAAGGATTTGCCTATTCAGTATATTTCATACAAATAAAATAATATATGACCTTTTGTGTCTGACGTCTTTCATTTAGCATATTCTCAAGGATCATCCACACTGAAACATTTTCATTGCTTCATTTTTTTTATTGCCAAATAATATTCCATTGTATGGCCATACTACATTTGATTGAACATTCATCAGCTGATAGACATTTGGGCTGTTTCCACTTTATGGCTATTATGAATAATGTTGTTGTTATAAACATACGTGTAACTTGGTTTTATGTGGACATATGGTTTCATTTCTCTTGTGTACACATGGAGAATATACTTGGCTATAAGCTTTTGGATCAAATGGTGATTCTGTTTAACATTTTGTGGAACCAGTAAACTGTTTCCCGTAACAGTTGCATCATTTTACATTCCCACTAGAAACATATGGAGGTTCCAACTTTTCCATATCCTTGTCAACATTTGCTATTTTCTGTTTTGGAGTTTAATTTTTTGTGTATGTGTTTTATAGCCATCATACTGAAGGTAAAATGGTGCCTGATTGTGCTTTTTAATTTGTATTTCCCTGGTGACTAGTGATGTTGAGTATCTCTTTGTGTACTTATTGTTTATATACATTTGTTTATTTTCTTTCAAGATATGTCTATTCAAATGCTTTTATTTAAAAATAAATAGTTAAAAAACTAGATAATTTGTCTTTCTATTCTTGAATTGTAATAGTTCTTTTTGCATACTACACCCTTACCAAATGTATAATTTGAAAATATTTTCTCTCTTTCTTAGGTTGTCTTTTCACTTTCTTGACACTGTCCTCTGAAGTACAAGTTTTTAATTTTGATGAAGTCACGTGTACCTAGTTTTTTGTTTGGTTCCTTGCACTTTTGGTGTCTTATCTAAGAAACCCTTGGCTAAATCCAAGTTCACAAAAATTTACAGTCTTCTAAGAGTATTACAGTTGCCACCCTTACATTTAGGACTTTGAACCACTAAATTAATTTTCGTATATGTTGTGAGGTAGGGGTTCAATTTCATTCTTTTGTATGTTGAAAGATTCTTTCCCTCTCTGAATTGTCTTGACACATAACTTTTTAAGATCTATTTTATATGTTCTACAGCTTAATAATGGTAGTGGTTACACTACTATGTATTCATTATCAAAGCTCATAGAACTGTACATTTATAAGTGTGAACTTTACTGTATTTAAATAATACCTCAACAACTCTAACTATTAAAAAATCTAATTTAAAGAAATAGTTATATAGGAGGGATGTCAAACAGTTCATGGAAAAATTCTATTATCTTTTAATTCCATTTTTTCATGACCTGTCTGAAACCTCCTCATATAAGGGGTCACACAAAAGGTACAAATACAATTGTCCCTCAGTACCCATGGTGGATTGGTTGTAGCATGCGCTGTGGATGCCCAAATCCATGGATGTTAAGTCCTTTATATAAAATGGTGTAGTGTTTACATATAGGAGTCCAGGTGTGGCAGTGCAGTATAATGCACTAGACCGTAGGTCTGTTTGAACTCACCAGTTGCTCCTTGGAAACAGTATACAGGTTCACTATGAATTGGAACTGACCTGAGGGCGCTTAACAACAACAACATTTGCATATAACTTACACACATTCTTTTATATAAATTAAATCATCTCTAGACTAGTTTTATGGAGTCCTTGTGTGGCGCTGTAGGATAAGCAATGGCAGTTTGAACCAAAAGGGCAGCAGTTCAAACATATTAGCCACTCCTCAGAAATCTTAGGGTCTTTATGAGTCTGAACAGACTAGTTGTTGTTGTTAAGTGCCATCGAGTCGGGTCCGACCCATAGCGACCCTGTACAGGGTTTCCGAGGGTGTAAATCTTTACGGGAGTAGAAAGCCTCATCTTTCTCCCGCGGAGCGGCTGGTAGTTTCGAACCGCTGACCCTAAGGTTCGCAGCCCGATTCGTAACCACTACGCTACCAGAGCTCTTAAAAACAACAACAAATAGACTACTTATAATACCTAATGAATGCAAATGCTATGTAAATAGCATTTCATATTCTCTCCTAATCTTTGAGGGATTGCTTGAAACATGTAATTGCCTTTTTTTCCCAAATATTTTCAATCCATAGTAGGTTGGACCCTCAGCTGCAGAACTCATGGATATGGAGAACTGACTGCGCTTCACAAATACTGCAGCATAGTTTGTAATGAAGAAAATAGAGAGACCATCAATAAGGGGAAATCACTAAATAAAAGGCAGTATAGCCAGAGGATGAAATACTATACAACAGTTCCTGGGATTAGACTAGATCTACATATATTAAGTGAATAAAGCTCAGAAACAGTCTATTAAATGAAAAAGTACAGTACACAATGATTTATACAGCAGGGACCCATTCATACAAAAATAACACACAAAATTTTTATCATGTAGGTTCTGTGAGTATATATCTAAAGGTATTTTTTGAAGGTCTGGTAGGATACTTGGCAAACGGACAGTGTTCATTGGCTCTAGAGAGAGCAAGAAGACACCAGGATTGGAAACGGTAGCTAGAGAGGAGTTAAGCTGCCATTTACCCCCACAAAAGGAAAAATATTCATTCATTACAAGTGTGGTTAAAAGTGGTATGGAATTTGTATAACAGAGTATCCTTGAGTTTACAGTGTTTAGGGAACGCTGAGATTCTGTGAAGGGTAAAGGGAAGATCTGAAAACAGATAATGGTAACAGTTGGGCATGGTGAGTATAACTGATGCCACTGAAATGTAAATGTGAAGAGCATTTAGATAAACAATTCGTCACATGTGTTTACCTCAGTAAAAGAAAGAAAGAAAAATATAAAACATGTCCCTGAGTTTAAGCAGACATTATGAGCATACAATCACTGACTTTTTAATACTCATATGTGCATCACCATCCCATCCCAATATACACACACACAAAAGTAATCTTACCAATTTGGATTTTCCAGACTTTCCCGGAAGACAGACTCTTCCTTCATGGATGCATATTGTGTCCATGTAAGGCAGTGACTCTGGATGGCCATGCTTCTTTCCTGAGGATTAAGCCATGATTCTTCTTCTAATTGGATATCAGGTATCTTTAAAATGCTCACCTGTCCAACAGAAGGAGGATAGCTTTCTCAATTTAGGGAGAGCAGGCTCCATAACGGAGTAAATCTGGTTGCTTTTGGTCTTGGACAATTAAGAGGAAACGTGATGCTGATATACAGATGGTAGCTCATCAGAGACTGCAAAGCCCTTGATCATCAGACATACCATGCCGTGACCTTGCTAAGTGCTGATGAGGACATGCAAATGACCCAGGATTTATGCAGGCTGTACAGTCCCTGGTCTGATTTCTCTACCCGTTAAACACTAAGGAAATTATCAGCCTCCTTCATGTCTTCTCTCAGGCTGGTTATGGTCTTCTTAAATTGATAGATTCTAATTGGGCCCACTTTTGGGCAGTCACATGCAGGACATTATCAGGTAAAGTATTTTCTTCATTTTTAAGTCCGTCTAATACCAAAAAATGTGTTTTTCTAGGTAGACGAGACAGGGAAAACTACAAAGGTAGAATTGTACAAGTCAGAGGTAGCTTAAATTATTTAAGAATTGAGATACAAGACAAAGTTGAATGCCTTTTTAAATAATAGATTCCACGCGTGTAGACAGGGTAAAGGGAGGCTACACACACGGTGGAAAAAGCCAGTAATAATTCACTGCATATGATGCAAAGCATTTTGCCATCTGAAAAATGAAAGAAAGTTCATTTTCATTGTCATATCAGCTTTCTTGTAATGAAAGAACTGACAGAGTCACTTAGTTCATGAGAAGGAAGTCATGGAAACCACCACTGCCTCTCTATGCAGCACAGCAATTAGTATGTCAGCTGATTACCAGGAGTCACGCTGGGTTCTACATCACACATAGTCACTGATGGGTTCAAATGCCCATCTAGACATGTGAAAGGGTGCATATCAAGGTACTCTCTTCTTGCTTCTTCCTTCTTCCAAAGGTACACCCATTATCAATCCCTCCATGGTTCAGGCAGTACAATTAAAATTGTCCACTTACCTCCTTCCAACAAAGAATCACCAGAATGCTTAAAGGTTTCAAAGAGAGAAAACAATTTGCTATCATAAAGACTTTGTCATCAATGTTATTACTTTACAGAAAGAAACACACATACAAAAAGCCTTAGTGAGCACTAAGAACATTGTACTCCCTAAAATACTCTGTGCTCTGTCATCTCGGACAGTGAATTGGGAACTAGAGTTTTTGCCTTCCTTACTCAAGATCAGACTAAATATCTGTAACAGGCCCACTTCTGATCATTCTTATCCAAAGTCATTTCTAACCTTGGGCAGATTAGAAAAGAGTCATCACATGCAAAATGTCCACAGTGTTTTTAAAATAATTGTAACTCATCTTATTCTACTAAGATCATCTCTCCCTCGGGGAAAAGAAACTATCTCCACTGGTATCTGTCAAAACTGAAAATTAGATTTGAAAGGGTCTCCTTCCTCTGAAAGGGTGTGAGGCAGGACAACTGGGAAAGTCCCAGTGCTCTTTTAAATCACAAAATGATATTTCTTTGCAGGATTCTTTTTAAATTGCCCAACACAATACCAAACCTGATTAAATTTTGAAATGGATTTACCTTCCTCAAAATTTCTGGAACCACATTCTGACAGACAGCAATTCTCTTCCTATAGATGATTCCTGTTGAAACATCTGGAAATAGAAAATTTTTAGACTTAAAAAATTAGTGTATTTTGTCTTAATGTCAACAAAACTTTCAAAGTCAATCTTATATTTCTTTATGTAAAATTCCTAGAGAAAATTCTTAACTGATAACTGTTTCCATTACCACATATCTGGGCCAGATCATTCCAAATATACTGACCAAAGAATCTACTCACACAGTATATTCTAAAGGCAAGGATAAGAGAATCACAAATTATTCACTGCTCTGAGACTATCAGTGTTGCCAGTCCAGCATTGTAGTCAAGGACCACTAAGCCTCAACTCAACTTTAAGAATGTTTTCATTCTTTAAAGAAGTTATAAAACTAATCACCAAATTTAAAAAGGAAAGGTATCCCAGATAAGCAAAACACTACTAAAGAAGAACAAAGTAGGAGGCCTCTCACTTTCTGTTCTCAAAACCTACTACACAGCCACAGAAGCCAAAATAGCCTGATACTGGTACAAAGAAAGACACATAAATCAATGGTCAGAATTGAGTACCACGTAGTAAATCTATCCACCTATGGTCAGCTGATTTTTGACAAAGGGCCAAAACACATTAAATGGGAACCAGTTTCTTCAACAAATGTGCTAGCAAAACTGATATCCATTTGCAGAAGAATGAAATCTGTCTCATACTATATAAAAAACACACACAAGATGGATCAAAGATCTAAACGTAAAACCAAGAGATATAAAGATCACCAATAAAAAATAGGGACAAACTTAGGGACTCTGAAACATGGCATAAATATACTACCAAATAGAACTGAAAACACATAAACAGCAAAGGAAATGCCAGATGACTGGAACCTCCTAAAAATTAGTCACTATCAAAAGAGTTCATCAAAAGAGTAAAAAGAGAACCCATACACTGAAGAGAAAAAATTTAGGCAATGACACATCAGACAAGGGACTAATCTCTTAAGATTTTTTGAAAAATTCAACACCTAAACAAGAAAAAGACAAATAATCCAATTTTGAAATGGGTAAAGGATACGAGCAGACACTTCACCAAAGATGATAGTCACTCAACAATTATATGAAAAAATGCTCACAATCTTAGCCATTAGAAAAATACATCTCAAAACAATGTAATATCATCTCACTCCAGCATTAATAGCAAAGTTTTAAAAAGTAAATAAACAGAAAACCATAAAACAACAAATGCTGGCAAATATGTGGACACTGGAACCATCATACACACACACATATATATATACGTATATATACGTATATATATATATATAAAACCTTCTGAGTGCCGTCAGTCCATGAATTGCTGTGATTCAGCCCCACTACCCTAGAGTTAAGGAGCTCTGGTAGCGTAGTGGTTACAAATCGGGCTGCGAACTGCAAGGTCAGCAGTTCAAAACTACCAGCTGTTCCACCGGACAAAGATGAGGCTTTCTGCTCTCGTAAAGATTTACAGCCTCGGAAACCCTGTACGTGATAGCTTTGAGTCAGAACCGACTCAACGGCACTTAACAACAACAACAACAACAACCCTAGAGTTTCTCAAACCTCTAGCCACAGAAGCCCTAACTCCCTGGTGCAAATAACCTGACTGCCCGGAAGCTGTAAGAAAGTGTCTCCTCTGCCCACGAGCATTCCCTTTGGCCATCTCCTATAATGTCTGCAGTACATAGACTTTAAAAAGAGTAGCCATTCCCATCAGCAAACATGTCCCTCCAGTCAACAGTAAAAAATACAATTAACAGTCATATTTCTTTGAAATATACGAGGGAGCTTCAAAAAGTTGGTAGGAAAATTCTATTACTTTTTCATTTCATTTTGCCATGGACTTTCTGAAACCTCCTTGTAAAAATACCTATACCATACAGTGGGAGACGAAATGAGTTAATATAGGTAAGAATTCCTGGCACATATAATTGCATGAAACATGTCAACAGTTACAATTATACATATATATTGGTTGATAATCAATTACTAATTTAGAAAGTAACAAAAGCACACTAGGAAGTATGTTGGGGACCCTAAGTGCTAAACCTTTCTATCATCACCTCAAGTATAGAAATATGCCTGTTTAAAACATAACAGGTCACACACATAGACACAAACTTTTTTTTTTTTTAAAAGCATTAGTATCACTTAATGATCATGGCTGAACTGAGGGCATACTTGCAGAACTCACCTCTTTTTTCCTCCACAGTTTTCACAGAGATGACATTTTTATCCATGGGGTTGGGATACTAAAATAAAAACACATGAAAAAGAATTATCATTCACCTTTTACCAAAGTAAATTATATAAGTAATGTTGTTGTTGTTCAGCGTGGTTGAACCAGTTTTGACTCATAGCAACCTTATATAGGGTTTCCAAGGAACAGCTGGTGAGCTTGAACCGCTGACCTTGCAGTTCAAATCAACCTTGAAGTATAGTGCATTAACCCAATAGCCACAGTTATTAACAGAACCAATATGTATTTTCCAAATAACTTCTAAGTCAAGTAAGTTGTCAATCAAGTCTTACTTTTACTATTTAACAAAAATAGGTAAGATGTTTTATCATGTACTGGACATGGATGAGAGCCTTGCCCTGGATAGGAAGTTGGCTGAGGTTAACCTAATTTATTAATAATACTATTAATATTAAATCAAACTAAGATACAGCTAATATGATATGAAGTGAGGGGAGATACACAAGAGCGCCCATACTTGCAGATAATACCCATTTGGCCTAGCTTCAATGGGTGGATGATCAGAACTCGACTAGAGGAAGAAAGAAGAGGGGGAAAAAAGTGTAATCTGCTACAGTTTGATGAACTTAACAGAGGGAACGAATCCTTACAGCAAGTATCATTCCCACACCCTCTGTACCTGTACACAGGGTTGACAGGAATGGGCAACTTAGACATTGGCTACCCAAAATGGGGTCGCTATGGGTCGGAACCGACTCGACGGCACTTAACAACAACAACAACAAACCCAAAATGGGGAGAGGGGCTATAAAGACACAGAGAGACAGGCTTAAACGTTTTCAAGAGGGAGCTTAGTTTCAGAGGGTGGGGGGAAGGTAGAATCTCCACTGAGTAGTTTCGAACCTGTCTAGAAGGGACTGGTGAAAGGAGACGGGGATAAGACTCTTGTTCAATAGTTGCTATCAGGACTGATTGTGAATGTCACAAATGTAAAGGTAGACATTTTGTAACAAAAGGAGGAGAGTGGTTGATCTTGCAGGCCAGGAGCGGAGAACCCTGGGACCATCAAGGGAGAAGAGTGAAGTGCGGAGCCCTATCCAGAGAAGCAGTGATGCCAGAGATGACAGCAGAGATGATGACATGGAGAGATGGAGCAGCTGGGGACTCTAGACTCAAGGAAGGAGAGGGGCATTGGAAGCAAATGCTGTTGAATGCATGGAGAGGATTGTAACCATGGCAATGAAACAAAATTCGATAGGATGAATGTAAAGCTGATGCCCTCCCATGTAAACTATCACTCAATTCACAATAAAAACTTAAAGTAATAATAATTTTTAAAAAGATACAGCTAATAGTGAAGAAACTGAAGAATCCTACTAACTTCTTCCTGGTGTGGTGCTGTGGGTTAATGCGCCAGACTGCAAAGCCATTTGAACTGCAAGGTCGGCAGTTCAAGTTCACCAGCTGCTCCTTGAAAACCCTATACAGGGTCGCTATGGGTCATAACCTACTTGGCAGCACGTCACAACAACAATCAACTTCTTCAGTTTGAAACTGATCAAACATGCCATTAAGTAGAACTGATAATTACTGCTGATTGGAATGTAAAATTTGGAAACAAAGAGGAAGCATCTGTAGTTGGAAAATATGATCTTAGTGACAGAAGTTATGCTAGAGATCACATGATAAAATTTCCCAAGCCCAATTACTTATTCATTGCAAATACCTTTTCCAACAACATCAACAGTGACTATACATGTGGACCTCACCAGATGTGAAGAATCAAACTGACTAAGTTGGTGAAAAGAAACTATGGAGAAGCTCAGTATCATCAGCCAAAACAAGGTCAGGGGGCAACTATGGAACAGACTATCTAATGCTTAAATGCAAGCTCAGGCTGAAGCTGAAAAAAACAAAAGTAAAACAAGCAAGCCCATGAGAGCTAAGAATGATCTGAGCATGTTACTGTTGTTGTAAAGTGCCATTGGGTCAGCTCCAACTCACACCAACCCTGTGTAGGGTTTCCAAGGAGAGAATGGTGGCTTTGAAATGCTGAACCTTCAGTGAGCTGTTCACTGCTTATTCTACAGCACACCAGGACTCCAACCTTGAGTATATACCACTTGAATTTAGAAACCATCTCAAGAATAGATTTGATGCCTTAGATACTTAATGACCAAAGACTATAAAAGTTGTGGAATGACATCAAGAACATCATACATGTAGAAATCAAAAGGTCATTAAAAAGATAGGAAAGAAAAAAAGAGCAAAATGGATGTCAGAAGAGACTCTAATCTCCTGGTGAGTGGAAGAGCAGAAAGGCAGCAATGAAGATAATGGGCTGAGTTCGACCACATTTCATAGACTCCTGTTGACCTGGAGATGAAAGAGAGAAGAGAAGGGGTTGGTTGGTCTGAAGTACGGTGAGAATTGTGGACTCCTGAGCCCATGGACAAGGACAGAGACACGGAGGGCTGGAGCTGAGAACAAAGTGCCAAGCTGATGTGAAGTGAGGGAGATGCACAAGAATGTCCAAACGTGCAGATAGTTCCCATTCAACCTGGCTTCAATGGTTTGATGACCAGAACTTGACTAGAGAAAGAAAAAAGAGGAAAAAAAAAAAAAAGGGGGGGGGGGAAGGGACTTTTTTTTTTTCTGATAAAGGAAACAAGTGTAAATTGGTATAATTTGATGAACTTAACCTGTACTTATGGATGTAGTAGCTCAAAATATCAACTGAGAAGGAAGGAGTCTTTACATCCCAAATCAATCCTATCCCCTCTATATACAGGGTTGATAGGGACGGACAACTTAAACATTGACTACTTAAAAGGTGAGGGGGCTATACAGGCATGAAGTGACTGGCTTACAAGTTTTCAAGAGGGAGGTTAGTTTCAGAGTGTTGGAGGAAGGTAGAATCCCCACTGAATAGGTTTCATCTTGTCTAGATGGGTAGGGTGAAAGGAGATGGGGATAAGATTCTTATGATTCAACAGTTAGTAATTGTTATCGTGACTAATTGCAAATGTCACAACGGTAAAGGTAGATGTTTTGTTTGTAACTAAAAGAGGGGAGTAGTTAATCTTACAGTCCCAGAACAGAGAACCCTAGGATCATGAAAGTACAAGAACATGAGCAGAATGTGGGACCCTATCCAGAGAAGCAGCAACACCAGAGATGGAGTCAGAGATGAGAGCATGGAAAGAAAGAGCAGCTGAGGACTCTAGACTCGTGGAAAGAGAAAGGCTGTGTGCTGGCAGCCAGGTGCTGGCTTCCAGAATGTGTCCTTTGGTTGTTTAAATGATTATATATTCCTAAGTGTTTTTGTGTACATCCCCAACCCCCCCCCCCAAAAAAAAATGGGAATAAAAGCAAATACTGTTGAATGATGATGCACAGAGGAGATTGTAAACATTGCAATGAAACAATGAGTATACAACTCATGTTCCCCCATGTAAATGAATCACTCAATACACAAAATGAAAACTTAAAAAAAAAAAAAGAAAGAAGCTTGCTTTTGAATGTAAAATAGCTAAAGTAAATTAAATAAATGATGTAAAAGATCTGAATATAAAATTTCAAAGGATAGCTAGAGAAAACAAAGTAAAGTATTATGATAAAATGTAGAGACCTGGAGATCGAAAACCAAAAGAGAAGAATATGCTCAGCATTTCTGAAGTTGAAAGAACTGAAGAAAAAATTTAAGCTTCAGATTGCAAAACTGAATAATTCTATGAGCAAAATACTGAGCAATGCAGGAAGCATCCAAAAAAAAAAAAAAAAAGATCAAAGGAATACACAGTCACTGTACTAAAAAGAACTGGTTGATGGTCAACCATTTCAAGAATTTATGATCTTGAAGAAGTCCAAGCTGCACTGAAGGCATTGGCAAAAAAAGTAGCTCTAGAAACTGACAGAATACCAATTAAAATGCTTTAATAAGCTAATGCAATGTTGGAAGCACTCACCAGTCTATGCTAACAAATTTGAAAGACAATTGCCTGGACAACCAAATGTTAAAGACCTATATTTGTGGCCATTCCCGAGAAAGGTGACCCAACAGAATGAGAAAATTGTCATCCAATACCATTAATATTACATGCAAGAAAAATTTTGCTGAAGATAATTCAAAAGCAGTTGCAGGAGTATATTGACAGGAAGCAGCCAGAAATTCAAACCAGATTCCGAAGAGGAAGTGGAATAAGGGATAACACCGTTGACATCAAATAGAGCTGACTAAAAGCAAAGCATATCCAAAGGAGTTTACTTGTGTTTTATTGACTGTGCAAAGGCATTCAACTGTGTAGATCATAACAAACTTCTCAGTGGCTAGCAATGAGAAGAATAAAAATTCCAAAGCAGTTTGTTGTGCTCATGCAGAACCTGTACATAAACCAAGAGGCAGTCCTTGGTACAGAACAAGGAATGCTGCATAGTTTAAAATTCTGAAAGGTGTGTGTCGATGTTGTATCTATTCATCATCATCAATTTGCATGCTAATCCAAGAAGTTGGATTTTATGACGAAGAACGTGGCATCAGCATTGGAAGAAGACTCACTAACTACCTGCAATATGTTGGTGTGGTGCCGTAGGATCATCACTGGACTGCGAACCACAAGGTTGGCAGTTCAGACCCACCAGCTGCTCCTCGGAAACTCTACTGACTCAATGGCACTTAACAACAACAACAACAATATGCATATGACATAACTTTGCTTGCTGAAGGGGAAAAGAACTTGAAGCACTTTTCCCTTTACTGATGGATTGCAACTCAATTCAACTTAATATAAATAAAACAAAATACAACTGTACCAACAGACAATATCATGACAAATGTAGAAAAGATTGACGTTGTCAAGGATTTCATTGAATTTGGACAAACTATCAATGCTCATGAAGCAGCAGTCAAGAAAGTAAGCAACAAGTTGCATTGGGCAGATGTGCTACAAAAGACCTCTTTGAAGTATTAAAGACTAAAATGTCACTTTGGGAACTAAGGTACATCCAATCCAAGCCACTTCTGATAACCTCATACCCATGTGAAAGCTGGAC